TGGTGATGTTTCTTCTTCTTTTTTTATTTATTTAGGCTCACATTAATAGGCTTCAAACCAAATTCCTATGTAAGTTGAGTCACTTCTCACTTTTTGAATTCAAAAGGTATGAAAGGATATGTAACAACTTAAAGAAATCAAAATTCTATATAAAAAAAAAGAATGAAGAGTCGGAAGTATTCTGACTTAACCATCCTAAAAACCCTTTTGAAATTTATATAGATAGAGATTGTACCACTAGAGTTAGCTAGTGCTAAGAGAATTGTGTACACACGTAATTGTGTGTGTAAACTTCTTTGTTGTATCAATAAAATTCTCACCTTTATGTGTAAAAAAAATTAGGTGTGTAACAAAAAATATAAATATGCATCAAATCATATAAAATGTATAACAATCCGCATAATTGTACAAAACTATCAACCATACTGGTCCCAATCTCCACGTTATCTATATCTGTCATGATAAAAGTGTGGGTTTGTTTTCAGTTTTCTGTTCCTTCCTATGTTGCTACACCTGTGTAAAGTTTCGGCATAATAAGAAACATCCAGTCTAATCCCTCAACATTACGGGCCATACTAATCTCATTTTAAGTTTGCAATATAATTTTTCACCACAACAAAGACTTCGCTAGGAAGGTTGAATAGTTCTAATTCTATAAAATCTTGATCTTAAGCACAAAAAAAATATTGATCTTAAATTTGATACAGTAGTAAACTTCTACAACATCTCAACACTCAAAAGTCACTAGAGCATTATGTGATATGAAACCAGCCTTGTAACTCTTTGAATAACTATCCGGCCTTCTAACTCTTGAATTTGGTGTAAACATTTTTTTTTATCACTTTTTAAACTTTAACTTTTATACTCACGAAACCTATTCTTTACCCTGACCACAACCTATTTTGATTATAGCTACCAAATTGCATCTCCTCATAAACAACATAATTATACTCTTAAAGGAAAAAATACTTAAAAGATCAAAGTTATGTTTAGTTATGAAAATTTTATGTAAAATAAGTTTATACAAAAAATTTTATTTTTAAATTGCACACAGAGTGGATGTGCCTTTTATGACTAGTTACTTTAAATTACATTGGAGTCTTAGTCTCTTCCACCAACAATAGAATTGTATAAAACCTACTATTTTTAATCCTTTGGGTTATCCAATACCGAAAAAATTGATTCTTCATTATTATCTCAAAACTCTCATCGTAGAATTCTTCTTTTGGATATGTTTCCATCGAAAACTTGCATACAAACCACGAAATAGCATTAAGGTGTTGGAAAACAGTTCTTTGTTTCAAAGAACCCAATACTTCAATACTTTGGATGGAAATCAAACCGTTCCGTGCAAGCACAACCAAGGAGGCCTAGATTCAATCATCTTTTGATACGGTTAAGGAAATATGATACGTTACTTCGGAAACATCTATTAAAATTGGAACAGAGAAGATTAGCATGGCCTCTGCTGAAGGATAACACGCACAGATAAAAAAAAGAACATGTGATACAGAAGATGAATCATAAGTTGTTGGTTACTAGGAGACATCTGATCGTCATATTTATTTCATATTTGATTCAATGAGTTTGTAATTTCTTATCTTGTGGGATATTTGGGCTTTAATTCTTTTTGTTGTAAGCTAATTGCTGTTAGAGTTATTTGACTTTTTAGTTACCGTTCTCTAATTTATATAGAGTTTGAATGTAACTGATTTGTAAAGATGAACGCAATGAAAGCTTACAGATGGAACTACATACTTGGTCTTCATACAGTGAAGAGTTTGGTCTTCTATATATATATATTATATATATATTTCAATGATTCTATCTATTATTCTTTATCTTGTAAATGGGGTAGTCTAATTATTTATTAATTTTTTTATGAATTTCTGAATTCTTACTATATTTGGTACTAATAAAGTTGACTCAAACTCAGTAGAATTAAGTCTCTTAATATAGGTTAGGTTGAAATTTTAAAAAAAAAAGAAACAATTTAATCTGAACTTCCTTAGTTTTGTGTTTAAGTAGTTTGTATCTGCAATCAAAATCCCCTTTTTCATTTTTGTTATGTCCCATTATTCCCATAGAACGGGTGATGTGAGACTTTCATCTCGTACAGCTCAAGCAAAAATACCCCAATACTATTTCCAATGGATATATAATAGAAAGTCTGAAACTTTTTTGGATTCCATCTGTTTTCTAGATTTGGAAAAGTGTGGATTTTCAAGAACAAGAATCTTATGATATGTTGGAAATCTCTTATAATAATCATCCGCACTTGAAACGTATCTTAATGCCTAAAAGTTGGATAGGATGGCCCTTACACAAGGATTATGTTGCTCCCAATTTCTATGAAATACAAGATGCTCATTGACGGATAACAAACTAATTTCCTCTTATACAATTTCATATATTCAAGGATTATACGTTTTGTTCTAGATTAGCCAGAATAATGGAAGTCTCCTTTGTATTTGGGAATTCTATGTAGGTAAACATAAAAAAGGAAAATGAGGGGTTCGTTGGTATTGTTAAATCCCATTTATTTGGTTTGTCAAAAGAGTAACAATTCTTGATCCTGCTCTTTGAAGATTGCTAGTCTTACTTTCAATTTTTCCAGATGTATCAGAACTTTTTTCAATTTCTTATGAAATAAAAAAAGAGGGGTTTTATTGATTAAATAGAACTTTTTATAAAAAATTTCAAATTGGATTAGATATTAAAATAAATAGAATAAAGTTCTATTGGTATAGAAAGTATTTGCAAATATTTAATCAACAAAAATATATATTCTATCATCCAAAAAATTAAGTGACTCCTTCTTTCTTCTAACCATTGTTATTAAACCTGATCCAGCTTGACAATTCAACCGGTCAACCCGATGAACCGATTGGTTTTATGAGGAACCCGGTTTGCATGTTGTCAAGGAAAAATTTGGTAAAGATACTAGAATAGAGATTTGAACCCGAGACCTCATGCATAGAAGTAGAATACAATCACCACTGAACCAACCAACCACCCATTTGTAAGTTATTTGTCCTTCTTATATTATATTATATTTTTATTCTTATTTTATTTCTCCAAAACAAAATTATTTGGAATCTTTTAATAACATTTTATTATTCCCCAAACTTTATAAATTATGAAATTGACTTAAAAAATAACATATTACAGAATCCATTTTAAAGACAAATATCATTCTTAATAAACTTTTGCACTGAAAATTCATAAATAAATTAGATTGTACCCATATTTGGTGGATTACTAATTAAATTTAGACTGTTAATTCTTATAAGAATTAATGATTCTATAACAAATTAGACTAACCGAATATTTATTATGGCATAAAAATTATTAGACATAATATTTAAATATATTTAGTGACCCATCGGTTAGATCACTGACCCACTGATTGAACTAGTAATCCGCTGACTCACCTCTTTCACTGGGTTCCTCCCTCGGCTGGATTTAATAACTATGCTTCTAAATTTGAAATGAAAGTACCGATAGATACTATCAAGGGGTGAATTTTCTGAATCACTTAATGAATTTCATACTTACATATATGAAGAAAAAAAACCTAAACCACGAACTACATACTTAATGTTAAATGAACCACATGTATCTAGCAAGTTTGTTGTAGGCGTGGTAGGAAGGGCCCATGCTCATAGATGCCTAGACTCAAATATTTTGGATTAGATGTGATAACCTATGACATATATTCACTTGTTTGATGGAAAAACTTACAAATATTTCCTCACTACAGGTAAATTCAAAAGATAGCGTAGCAAATTAGGTGACAGTACCAAGTGGTGTACCATGACCATGTAGTACCCTTTCCTGATTTGAGACATTTAGGGAGTTGGGTAAGGTACTTTCATTGTAACATTAACCAACAAAATTGAAAAATAAACAATTACACGCACGAAACTAGCATATTTCTTGACTACATTTTACGTACCATGCCTTTTAGTATGTACAATATCAAGCTTTTTAACTTTTTCCTGGTCGCCCCAATAAATAGTTCGAAAAGTGATTCAATTATCTCTGCTCTACTTGCTTTCGAAAATGTCTAGTGATTAATTTGCATAAAGTGGTGTGGTTCTACCTTTTTTTTTTGTGTTCAAGGGAAGACTCTAGACATTACAGGAGAAAGGAAAAAAGGAAGGGGCTTAAAAGTCAAAATAGAGATCTCGTAGTCACTTGGTTAATGTCCTTGTCAGTTAAACTATATCATAGGAACAAATTAATGTGATTTTAATTGCCTAATCATCATTAAAAAAAATGGTGATTCTACAAATTTTCTAGGTTGTGAAAGGTTACAAATAGGATATTCTTATACTATATAAGATTGAGTTCTGGTCAAAGAGGGGGTTGAATTTCAACCGCACGGATAGGGACTTTTTGGGAATGTGAGATGTTGTGTGATTTTTGTAAAGCTTTTGGTACGGCTTAGGGTAGCATGTGTTTGTATATGTTTACCGAAATGTCCTCATTCTGATACATTAAAAGCTTTGATTCATGGAAACTTACGGGTATTTCTAGAATGGGAACTTCTTTTGGAATCAGTTTTTGCATCATGTACAAGTTATATAAGCTTACTTATTGGTATAGTTACTGAAATGATGTTGTAGACACATTTAATGCCTTTGCTGTGCAATTAACACAAAGACACGTTGCTTTAACTGTTTGTTTGATGACATCCCTTTGTTTGAAATAACTTGCCTCATCGCTTCCCATCTCATCTGAGCTCAGGTCTGAAACAACCCACTTCTTTGCCATTTACGTCTCAATTTTAAAACATCAATTTGCTAATTTTTGTGCCACTTTTATTGTCTGTAAAAATACTAACTAGGTTTTGGCTATGCTAATTTCCTCCATTTATTGTCTGGAAGTGGCAGGATTTTGGATTTTGTAATGTCACAGATTCTTTATTAATTGATTTTTTAAGATGCGGGATGGGTTACATGGTATTTTTTTGCGCCTCTACACAAATACTCATACTAGAGATTTGTGCGACTATTCAAAATGTTTTACATAAAGTATCAACCTCTAACTTCTTTAGAACTGGAAAATGAATTTCAAAATTGATTTGTCATATTTTATGACTATTTCTTCTCAAATTACCTCAAACTACTCCTCCCTAGTAGTTAAGGTATAAGCAAGAACAAATTACTACAAACTACAAAATGTGTTTCACTTTGTCAATTGAAATTGCCCTTCCCCTTAAATCCTCTTTGTTTGTGCGTTAGGCTTCAGAGGATAGTTGGACTTCCTTGGGATTTTCTTCTTCGTCCCAGTTTGTTGAGCGATAATAAGTAGCATATAGTATGAGTTGAGTTAGTCCAGCAACAGCACCACAACCATTAGGTATCTGTAATATTCACATGGAAAAACAACAAAAGTAAAAATAATTAGAGAATTATATTTTAGAGGCAATGTGCAAAATTTGATTAAAAAATAATGCTGAATTTTGAAGTACTTTTTTTATATATTTTTTTAAGTTACAACTTTATGACCGCTAATTTCTTTGTTTGTAGCATGACTATTTTGAAATTATATTAATTGGATAAACAAATAAAAATCCATTTTTGTAGTTGATTCACTCGATTTTTTATTGTTTACATTAAACAAGATGATGGTGAATTTTGTTTCCAAACTAAATGATACTTTAAAGAATTGTTAGTCCCTTGTTATCTTATTTTTGAAGTGCTTTTAGACAATATTATTCTACCAATTGTTTAAAAATGTACTATCACATGAAAAGGTGGTTGAAACTTGAAAAACATATCTACATCTTTCCAAAAAGAAATGTCTTTGTCAAAACATTATATTGAATTGTTTGTATTTGCTTTATCCCTATCATTGCTTTTATAATTGCTTTTCCATCTTTTTTTTTTTTTTTAAGAATTTAACTTATTGGTTTTGAAATCACACCCATTTGTTGATTGATACAGTGGGAATATAATTACTCACCACAAGCCAGGGGTCAAATTTGAGGAAAGCATAAGAAAACCAAATACCACCATTGGCAAAATTAGCAAGTGACAAATAAAATGGCATGTATTTCACACTCTTGGTCTGGATTACTCGACGCTGCAAAAGAAATAGTAAAAGAATATTACCAATCATAATTGACTTGATCTAATCTAGTTAATTAGATTTATCAAAAAGATCAAATTAATATATATCACATATAGCATCAAAATAAATAATACATACCATGATGGTCAATGGCGAAAAATACATCATGATGTTGAAGATGAGGGACAATACACCAACAAACAAAGACCTCTGGTTGCCATGAAGAGCAGCTACGGTAATAATAACAACTATGGCAAAGAATATTGCTTCGATCACGAGGAACATGAAGATTTTGCGCTGAAAATTAACAATAACAATAATCAATAGAAATTGTAGTTATCCAACTTACTTGCCTTGTAATTCAATTTCAATAAAATTATAGTCGCCTGTATATACAATTAGTTTACTTTGTTTTTACTATCCAAAAACATTATAATATGATTTAAGCATTTCGTTGGCAATTCCAAAGTTAAAGTATTTTAAACCAGTTGTGATGAAATGGAACTAGACATAATAAATATACAAACATTTTAGAGGCTAAACTGTGACGATTCTAAAATATAGGATCAAAGCTGTTAAACTTACTCGTTTTGGCCAGTCGGAGTATATGACGAATATGGCGATAAAGATAACTTCTATGGCAAATCCCACACCATTGATAGTGGAAACCAAAATGCTATCCTCTTTGACGATAGGAAGGCCATAAAATACCCACAATGCACAATTCAATATCGTCGCAAGGTAGGGGTCTGGCTTGAAATGCTGAACTGACTTGGCTTTCCATATTTTTGCAAATGTTGGGCTGCATTTTGAAATCATTTGCACACAATGTGTTAGGTTGTTTAATAATGATTGCTATTTTTCTTTTTTTTTTTTGTGTCTTTTTGTGCATTGATATCTAAATTAGCAGGCAGGATCCTTTGTCTATTATATTTATTCATTTTTCCTATCCAATGCAACACTACATAGTTCCACTTACTAATACTGCTGATGTAGCACATAACATTGAATGCATATTTAGGAGGTGTTTGATAAATGAGTTTCAAATTCAATTTTAACATGGATGACCTACTTTCTAAATCAACATGAGTGCATGTAACTACAACTTTGACAAATTCAAGGAACTCATCCTCAAATGCTTGCCTAATGTCATCTGAATCATGCGGCGTGAAATTCCAAAGTAGAAGACTATGGGTACAATTAGGCATAAACAAACATTATTTATGGATATTATTGAATTTGAAACCCATTTACCAAACACCCCCTACATATGCATTCAATATTATGCGCCATATCAGCAATATTAGTAAGTGGAACTATTTAGTTTTGCATTGAACAGATATAATGAACAGAGGATTCTGTCTGCTAAATTAGTGTGTTATTTAGGAGAGGTAAAAAAGTGAGGTTACGCTGGCGAGAGGAACATGCAAAAAGATATGATGTTTCCTGCATTGATTAACAAACAATAATTAGAAGATATCACATCAGAATAGTCTTATTTCCGAGATCTTAAAAGTACATCTGTGAAACCAATTGAAGCAGAAAAACAGTTAATCTGTTTTCAAGTATCTAGAAATCGCAAATTATCATTTAAAAGATTTAAAAGAGGAGGGAGAGCAGAATTGTTGCTCCAAGATAAGGCAGCAAAGCCCTTTTTTATTAACTTTGTTAAGAACAAAGGCTACAATCCACTCTCAAACTTAAAAGAATAATTATGTTTTTGAACACGCTCGAGGATTAAATCCAATATATAGGACTTGTTCAATGAGCCTAAAAAAAAAAGGACAAAGGAAAAACATGTGTTCATAGACAAAGCAAAATCCATTCAAGCAATGACAAACAAGGAAAACCAAACTCTTCGGCTAAGAAAATCACGACGACATCTGGGATGATTATTTAAACCTCACCAATAACTCCTAAAACAGTCCTTGTAAGTTCTGTGTCCGCCATATTTTGGAACCCAAATTTGCTTAAGCTGTGCAAACTGGAATGGTGGAAATGGCTAAATAGCGCCTTGAATAATCGGATGAAGTAGTGAATTGCTTGATCCAAACATAAAAGAAGAATTATGCAGATCTATATGCATGCAATAACCCTGAAGGCTGTCTTTTACAAATGTAAGAGCCTCCGGGCTTATCTTCTTTCTGGATGGATTCAAGGAAATCTTTTAAAGGAAAAGTTTGCAAATTATGTGGCCATTAAATCACTCAACGGTAGAAAAGTTATGTACTCAATTACTCAATGGTAGAAAATGTTTACATTGTTAGAGAGAATTAGTCATGCCTTTAAAGCGAAATTTACTCTAATTCTCTTATTCTCTACTACATTTTGATCCCATATCTCTGAGGTCTTAAACAACGTGGTTCTTCATTTACTAAATTGTACAAATTTGGCATCTATTCTACACAAAAATTGACCAAAATTGGACCTATAACTGTAATTGAGAAAACTCAATGGAGAAATCACGCGAGCTTTTTATGCACCATTGAAACAGTACTTACATGAACAATTTGGACCTTTATGTTTACAATATAACCAATGTGGTTCCTTGGTATCATCACGAACCAAAATTAGTTTGTTTTGGTACTATGGGGCCACATTGGTTAACAGTAGCTGAACCAGATGATGATATAGATGATGTATATAGATATAGATGATGTTGAGTTCAAAACAAGAGAGGGTGACTCTTATTTATAGGAGAATATAGAAGAAGAGTTCAAAATACATCAATTAGTTATAATTCTTATCAAGATAGTAATAAGATCTTCTCGAAAATAAAGATAGTGATAAGTTTATCATCTTGAAGATAGTGATAGGTTTATCACAAAAAAAGTGTGATAGATTGTGATAACATCCATTAATTATTTGATTATTTTATAACAGATCTAACTATTTAATATCTTTGGTTTTATAGAATTAACTAATTATTAATTATTTAGATTTGTATTAAGCAGGATCTATTGGTATCCATGTCTACTCAAGTCTATGTAAGTAGAAGTGTCAAAATGGATGACTTGGACGGGTTTGGGTTGGTTAAAATTGGTAACGGTTATAAATGAATCAACCCATTTATACCCATTTAATTAGATAGGTATAAATGGGTAAATCAAAAAATAAATTGGGTAACCCAATTACCTATTTATAACCCATTTATTTTAACTTTTTGTAAACTCATTTAAATTCATTTTTGCAAACTAAATTTGCACTCATCATTAGTTTTAAATATTTACTTATAATGCTCAATAAGCCTGATTACCATTTTTTCCGATTTGTACTCTATGTAGCAAAATTACATGCTATTTAATAATCGAACAATAAGAATATAAAAATTTGAACTAAGTACAATAAAAAGAACATAAAAATTTAATCCAAAAATTTTGAACCCTTAACATTTTTTTCGTGTGTAAATTTAAAATTTTATTTTGAAAAGGTAGGAAAAAAAAGCTAAAACTTATCATAAATTGGTAATGTTAAAAAATGAACAAGTTAAAAAACTAAGAGAAAATAAAATGATAAGACAAAACCAACAAATAATAATAATAATGAAACAAAAGTAGTTAATATCATGATAAAATGAAAAATCTGAAAAAAAAATAAGTGGGGGAAGAGAGGAGATTTAGGGGAAGACAATTCTAAATGGGTTAATTGGACTTGATGGGTTGCCCAATAATACCCATTTATTTATTAAATTGATATTATTGAGTAATTCATTTATACCCATGTGCAAAAACTTATGATACCCATACCCATTTATTCATGGATGGGTATGAATAAATTTAATTAAATGGATTTATTTGTCACATATACACATAAGTTTGAACCAAGTTTTCTTCCCCGAAAAAGCGTTAGGACAAGAGGTATGTCTTTGTTCTTAGTAAATGAATGAGTCTGAGACAAAGTACATCAATTTCATTAATTCATATTTCATTGACATGGGGTTTGTAGCCAAAATAATCTTATGTATATAAAATGTTCTTCATGTCATTCACTTTCATATGTTTTTCCGAAAGTAATTCTTTTTTCTACCCTATTTTCTTCCAATCCATGGTCGAAAGTAACAAAGGCAAGCTTGACTTAGTCACCACTTGTGAGTTTATTATGTGACATGAACTAAGCTTTCGAGTTTTTTTTTTAAAAAAAAATTTCAAGACAACGGCATCCCATCCTAGTTAGGTTAATTCTCAATTATTGTATCAAATTAAATTTTCAACAAAACCAATTATTCCATTTGAAATTTTCTTTTAAAAGTTATGAAATTTTCTGGCCCTTTTTTTTATTCAACCAAATGATATTTAGGTATTGCTAGGAAACAAACGAAGAAAAAATGTCTCGGCAAGAAATGGGGAAAGGCTATTTTGATGTCTTGAATCCTTCATTTGAATGCACTAAAAGAATCATTTGAAACCATGGACATCCCCAAACATACAAATTATGTTACAATTAATGAACTGGTACGTATATACAAATTAAAAACATGCTTTCAACACAAATCAAACAATTAGATATTAGAGTCACACAAATGTAAATATCCTAGATGGTCACATTTTCCCACGTTGGCATGTTAGGGTGGATAATCAAATAATAAGATCCATTCTTGGAAAAAAGAAAATGCCTTACAAATTTCATAGTCACCCTACAATTAAGAATTTTTTTTTTTTAAAAAAGCAACTTTGACCTGCATAGAGATCATGTTTGCAAGTACTAAAATTTGAATTACTAAATAAATTTGAGATAGTTGTTTAACAATATTAGGTTTCCTATGGAAATAACTAGAATTTTGCTCATGCCTTAGCTTGGTCTTTTTTTATTTATTGTGAATTTATACAAATATGAGTAATTTAACTATAAAAATTAACAACAATCGTATATGTTCATTCATATTAACTTTAAAAAATTAATGTACATTAAATATTCAATTATTTACTCATTTTAAAAAATTTATTTACATACTTTCACTATAATATGATAGTATATATCAAATAATGTACCTCATATCAAAAATTTGGCAGATATTCTTTTTTATAAATATTCTTTTAAATAATTAAATTTTTATAATCATCGTAAATCTTGAACTATATATTCATATTTAATTAAGTAGAAAAGATCTAGCAATCCATTTTTCTTCATCAATAAATATTTGGTTTGCATGTTAGGGTGGATAATCAAATAATAAGATCCATTCTTGGGGAAAAAAAAGCCTTACAAATTTCATAGTCACCCTACAATTAAGAATTTTAAAAAAAAAAAAAAGTAACCTTGACTTGCATAGAGATCGCAAGTACTTAAATTTGAATTACTAAATAAATGTTAGATAGTTGTTTAACAATATTAGGCTTCTTAGAGAAATAATTCCGCGTTAGAAAGAAAAAAGAAAGCAATTAAATGTAAAGACGAAAGGATAAAAAAATAGAGAGGAAAAGTGGGACAATGAGAATGGAACTGAGAGATCAAAACTGACTCTCTTTCCAGTGTACGTAACTTGGAAATTTTATGTGGCAATAATTCGATTAAGAAGAGAATAAAATTTGAAAGTAAATCGCTTTGGGATTAATTTTCAAAAGTAAGATTAGAATGGCCAAAAACCCCACATGACATGATTGTTCAACCCTGTAAAGTGTGGAAGTAGTAGGATTTGGATCAGCTAGATAACTCATGGTGGTTGAGTTAATCATGAATCGGATTTCGACATCAGGAGCTCCAACGTCAAATGAGATATACGTTTATTAGTAGTTAATATTTGAAAGATATTATTTTCACAAATTATTTTCTGTTTTATGTGGTCACTTTATTAATATGCGAAAGCTATAATTTTCACAGTTTATTTTAACTATTATGTACTTACTTCATTTATCAGGAATTCTCACTTAACCATTCATGTCAAAGATTAATTCTTTCCCTTTCTCAAATAGAGTTTGATATTTCCTCTCTCCTAACCAAGTTAACTAAATCCTATAATTTCTAATATTTCCTTTTTAAATAAAAAAATATGCATATACATTTAACAAAAATTTTATGGTAAAACAAATATTTAATTAGTAGATCACACTTTATTTGTGACCAACCATGCACTTTACCTACTTGAAATCATCTATAAAATGCTTTTCTTAAAAAAAAAAAAAAGAAAAAGGGGAGAGACAGGTTTTGCTAGCTGCTTAGAATAATGTTACCTGAGACTTTTTTCATATGATAATGTTCAATGGCTTTGCTCCAACTAACAAATGTACCTTATCGATAGGCTTGCCAATTCAGCTGGGCTAGCCCAAACTGAACCAATCCGCCCTAAATATAGTGGGCTAGCCTTATGCAATGTGAGTTTAGTTATGTATGGGCTAATTTATTTTGACGGATTCAAATGTGAGTTATCTTTTAGTTGCACTAAATTTAGCCCACTTAATACTCGATATGAACTGCACATACACAAATTAAGAATATTTGTTTATCTAAATCTAGTTAAATAATTGAAATTTAGATGGCTAATTTTATGATAAATTGTTCTTTTTCAATCTCCAGTTGATAGGTTTTATGGATGTTATGATAAACTCTATTATTTTTTGCCATAAAATTCAAACTTTATTTTAGATATTGTAGAACGTCTATAGATTGGTTGGTTATTTGGTTTAACTAAATTTTGTGAACATGAAAAATGCATCATGTGAATTTGGGCCTCTTTGAATTAGGCTCAATTCCCAATTTTTTTTGTGAGTTGAGCATGAACTATGAAAATCTGAGTCTAGCTATGCTGAATTTGGGTTCAAAAGAATGATATTTTATATAAATTAAGTTTTAAAATGTCAAAATTCAACTCACATAACCCAATTGACAGGCCTACTTATAGATAATGGCAGAGTTAAGATATTTGGCCTGGGGTTGCATTGATCAATCTTGTTAAATTTTTACATCGTAATTAATTAGAAAATATTTATTTATGTTTGATGGTATAATGATAGATTTTGCCATGTACACCAATACTTAATAAAAATTAAATAGTTGAACAAATACTGTGTTGGATTTCAAAATCTCTGTATCCTTCTCCAAACCAATGTTTTAAAAGGTGAAAGTGTTAGGCGGGTTGTTTAGTATCCGTCCCAA